ACCATCAGCCTTCTTCACCACACTTACTTATGCACACATTCATCTTCAGCGTTTATGCGTGGAAGGTGGTCACACAATGATGGTTTTTGTTATTTGGTGTCTTTTAAAAATGATCTTTCAACAATGCTTTGTGGTCCTAATTCATAAGTATTCTTCAACCTGAAATTAATTCAGTTGCACAGATTTCTACTAACTAAAATTTGGTTTTCTGTATTCAGACTGGCTGTCCCCTAGTTCCATTATTCCAAATCAATGGGTTTGATATCAGAAGGTATTGTCACCTGCTGTGTTTCTACATCATTTGAAAACATACTTCAGATTACAGCGGCTCTCAACCTGTGGGTCGTGACCCCTTTAGGGGTCCAACAACTCTTTTACAGGGGTCGCCTGATTCATAACAGTAGCAAAATGACAGTTATGAAGTAGCAACAAAAATAATTTTATAGTTTGGGGGTCACCACAACATGAGGAACTGTATGAAAGAGTTGCAGCATTAGGAAGGTTGAGAGCCACTGCTTTGGAACATAGCATTGAGCATTCCCATTCTGCACCAACCCTTTCTGGGTTTGAATCCTGACTCTGTCACTTGAGGCAGGTTCTCCACCTTCTCTGGGTCTTCATTTCATTGTACAAAGGAGATAATACTTTTTCTGGTTTGTCTCCATTTGCCTCTGCCCTTCTCTACTCCAGTCCCTGGAGAAGGACATCATGCTTGGTAAAGCAGAGGGACGGTGAAAGGGAGGGAAGACTCTTGAGGAGGTGGATTGACACAGTGGCTACAACCATGGGCCCAGGCATAGGAACTACTGTGAGGATGGCGCAAGACTATGCAATGTTTCCTTCTGTTATGCGTAGGGTTACTCTGGGTCAAAGCCAACTCAATGGCACCTAACAACAACAACAACAACCTACATGTTGAAGACAAAGTTGGACCTGACTCAAGACATGGTGTTTTCAATTGTCTTATATGTATGTGAAAGTTGGACAAGAATAAGAAAGACCAAAGAAGAACTGATGTATTTGAATTATGGTGTTGAATTATGTATTTGAATTATGGTGTTGCAAAGAAAATTGCCCCATACCCTAGACTACCAGAAGAATGGACAAATATATTGGATGAGTACAGCTCTAATGGATGAATACAGCCATAATGCTCCTTAGAAGCAAAGATGATCAGACTTGAGCTCACATACTTTGGACATGTTGTGAGACTAGCATTAGTCCCTAGAGAAGAGTATCATGGTTGGTAAAGTAGATGGTCAGGGAAAAATAGGACACCCTCAATAAGAAGGATTGACACAGTGACTGCAAGAATAGGCATAAGCATGACAATGATGAAGGATAGCAATGTTCACATCTGCTGTACACAGGGTAGCTATGAACTGAGCCAATTCAAGGGCACTTAACAACACCTGGCTTTGTGCCCCAGAATACTCACCTGTAGCCTTTGGGCAGTCAGGAAGATCTGGGCAGAGATCCAAAGGCAACAAGAAAGGAAGCATTGGACCGCTAGCCATAAGGTTGATTGTTCTAACTCACCAGTCACCCCTAGAGAGAAAGGTAAGACTTTTTACTCCAGTAAGTTTTAAAGGACGCTTCCTATGAGTCAGAATTAACTGGATGGGAACGAGTTTAGAGCCTTACTTTAAGACTTCCTGGGTTGTGCAAACAGTTAATTCACTCAGCTACTAACCAAGAGCTTGAAAGTTCAAGTCCACTCAGAGGCATTTTGGAAAAAGGCCTGGCAATCTGCAGACATGGATCCCTGATGGCACAGTATTGAAGAGCATGATTTCTAATCACGAAACCACTAACTACTCTGTGGGAGAAAAGATGTAGCTGTTTGCTTCTATAAAGGGAAACCCTACAGGGCTGTTCTACTCTGTCCTGGAAGATTGCTCTTAGTCTGAACTGACTTCACAGCAATGGGTATTGTTTTTGTTTTTGGCTTAGGTGGTTGGTTTTATTTTCATCTCTTTCTAAGAATCGGCATTAAAAATTCTATGAAGCAGAGTTCCACATGGACCTATGGGGTCACCATGAGTCAACATCGACTCAGTGACCACCGGTTTGGGTTTTGTTCTGTTTTGGGGGCTTCCTTTGTCTTTG